GAGGAAAGACAAATGAAAAAAGGCAAGCATTTGTGTCTGTTTACCCACCACACTGTACATACAACATGCTGCACATGAGCTGCTGGTGGATTGGCAAAATTAAGTACAGGCAATTAAGATGCTGATCTTTTCTACACCCACATTATTCTGGCTTCTAAAAAGAGAATCACAGATGCACTAAAGTGCTGTATGGAACAATAAATAACTCCCGTAGGGCTTTGCAGTGCTGTCACGCTCTCTGCAGCAGTCACCGTCCCAGAAGAAGGCAATGTGCCACAACCGCCATGAAGCCTTCCTACCTCAGGCACTCCACTGGCAACATTTTAAAACAACTGTCTTTTGTTCTTCCCCATCTGCATCCCCTCCCTCCCTCCTGACTGCTCCCCGAGTCGATGGCATAATACATCTATTTAGGAGGGAACTCATAGTGGCCTAATTTAACAGCCAGGGAGAAACACCAGTGAACACTGGCCTGCTAATGAATGAATAGGCCTGATGTGTAAAATCAGAAAAGATAACAGACTGAGGGGCAGGCCCCCCCAAAAAAAGTTCTTGCTAAACCAGCTGTTTAGATGAGCCCTATTGCCTCCCCAGAATAATAATTCCTCTACACGGGTCTGAGTAAACAAACAGTGTAAGGAGAAGTCAGCACTGTCTTGTTTGGTTCTTGGAGACAAAGTAAGAAAAAAAAGGACAATGGAATCATATCATGATCAAATCTTGTGTCTCTCACCCCTGTTGCATGTTGACATCTGGACACTGAGGGGACAGTTGGGTATACACAGCCTACTAGCAATAAACAAACAAAGGGGCGCTCGGCCTTGAAAAGCCATACACCTGTGACCAGCGGAAAGCAGCAGGCGCAGCAGTGTTCATTAAAGAAGCCGGTCCTGACAGTGAGGCATTTAAGAGGCCATCAGGAGCGACAACTCAGCAGCTACCTTGGGCCCGGAGAGGGAAAGGCATCAAGGTGAGCAATGCAATTCCAGCTTGAATAATGGAGCACTTTCCTCAGGTCTGACATTCATGTATTTCACAGGCAGTTTTGCCAAACAGACCAACAACACCTGTGAGCTCTTCAATATTCCACAGGGGAAAAAAATGGTTTACAATGTTGACAGGTTCACATTTACTCTGTTGCCTGGCTGCTGGTTTGCAGATAATCTCGCTCAAAGTGGTTCATGAATTAATAATGGCACCGAATATGTCAAATCTAATAATATGAACATTTAGATTTTGGATTCTGTGCACTACAGACACACACACAGCAGGCTCCAACATCTAGATGTTATTCTTTACGATTTTTAAAAGTAATTTCTTCAAGGCAAACTATTCTCACTTTTCTCTTGGATTCACCAGCCAGATTCCATTTTCACGGAGTTGCTGAAGTAAACTGGTAATAACAGAGGATTAATTTACAAGGAGGCAAAATCCCCCAGTGAGACTTGTGGCCCAGAACAATAACGAGCACATAGTAAACAGAAATTTGCCGTAAGCCAAAAGAGAATGCAGAGGCACCTAATCTACACACTGGAACACACAATGCACACCCACCCAAGCACAACCACGCCCTCACTCACACACACATACACACATACACCGGCAGAGAAAGTGATGGCAAACTATCTTCCCCAGGCCTGTGTAACAACATATGTTTTCAGGTAATTAAAAGAAGATCCCAAGCGGTTATCGTGTCATATTGAAATACAATGCACAGAGCAAATTACCTTTCCGTGGTTATTTGTAAAAAAGGTGGGTGCATGAGGTCACGTTGCTTCTGTAAACTGTGAGAAGGCATTCGTGGCTGCAGTCGTGCTGCGGTTTCAACTTTTAATTAGAAATGCTGAGCTCAAAGCTCTATGTAATGTGTGATATGCAATTTGTGTGTTTCTTTTCTTTGAGTGATGGCTAGTAGTAATTGTTTAGTGCAAGTACATGAGTTAAACTGTTGACTGGGCACAAAAGTAATTTAAGCATTCGTCAATATGCAATTCGCGTTTTGAGAGCGCGCAAGAACTGATTTTTAGCAGCAGAATACATTTTGTAATCAATGTTTTTTGTAATTAAATCTAAGTCAGCATTAGGGTTTCCTCTGCTTATCTCCAAAGCTGTTAATTCTCAGATTTGCCGGTTTCGATCCTTCACACAAAGTCTTGGAAGTAAAGCGGCAAACTGATCAACACCACCTTTTTAAGTAACACTGAGTACTTCATAGTGTGCTCCAGTGCCTCTTTCGTTTTTGAACTGTGAAAAGGATGTTTGCACTTCACAGTCTCAGGTTCATAATGTTCAGAATCTGTCAAAACAGCTGGAGGAAGAGCAGATTTCAAACTGAGCAGGGACCACATGAGGTACTTTCTCTATAAACTTGTTTTTCACTTGTGAATCTGTTCCTACACACTCTTTTCTTTTGCAATGATTATCACACCCCAGTTGTGTGCTCACTCTAAAATGTGGTAATTAACACAACACGCTATTTTGTTTTCTCCGTATTAGGAGTTTAGGAAAGCAAGAGTACAAGTTTTCATTAACTGACTAATTGACAATTCACTTTTGTACTATAATAGTGATGGTGCATTAACACATGTTACATATGTAACCAAGGCTCTTTGAGGGGAGACACAACCTCTCCACCTTAAATATACCATATGTGTCTTAAACCGACATGAATTCAAATTCTGGAAAACAGGCTGTAGAAACAGCAAAAGATTATCATCTTATTAGGTTTCGATGGCAATTTAACATTCATTTGGAGATGCATTTCTGTCCACCTGCGAATGTCAGTCCCATATGCACTCTCCTTTGTAGCTCTGCTTCTGTCTACAACAACTCCTCAGGGAAATACCGAGCTCTTTGGCTGCTAAATGTACCAAAATCTTCACCAGCTAACTTCGTCTGTCAGCCTCTTAGTGATCAGCAGATAGTGTACAGTGAGTTTATCAGAGCTTTTTAATGAAAACAGCTGTCTGCTGCAGCTGGAAACGATGCTTTTGAGAGCCAAAACGGTAAAGTTGTGCACCGTAAAACCAAACCAATGAGCTGAAAGACAGTAAAAATTGCTCTGTTGTAGAATTGGATATTTTCAGTGTGTTTGTCACTACAAATGACTTCCCACTACGCATACTCATTTGACGCATTGTTCATATAGATAGAAATATTGATTTGTGCAGTTTTAAAAAGTACTTAAGTCAACTAGGGGAGTTGGACTCTATATGATACATCATGTTTTATAAGGAACATGCATACATGGTAAATCTTGATTTGAGCATGTTTCTGGGCAGCCTAGAGCTGGGCAGAGTAATTATAATCATTATAACCATGGTTACATATGTATGACTCTGTATGTCCTTGTTGTATTAATCCTAATATATTCCGTATGTTCAAGGACTCTAAGTGAAGCACTTTATTTTAATTCATTTTGAATTTGAGTTATCACCAGAATGCTCATCTTTGTGCTCAAATAAAAAAACAACCTCCACTCAACTGCTTCCTAAAATAAATGATTTTGCTCTGCTGGCCAGACTCTATACATTTTGCCAGATGCTGCTCAGGATTAGCTATAGTTAGTAAAGTGTCCTGCTGCATTGCACCCAATACCAGTTTACCAAACAAGCTGCCACGTTGATGCAGGAGAGCGAATCCATCAATCCATCTCTTTGCCTTCGGAGTTGTCTCCAGAAAGCTTTTCTCAGGATACATTGTTGACTTTTACTGTCCTGCTGTGTGTGAGGGAGCTTCCTTCTCATCTGACAGACAGGTGATTCTCCTTTGAAGTGGCTCCATCTCACTCGCTGATGGGGAGGCCAGAGAATTAGCCTCCCCCTCAAGACCCCATTAAAGCATAACCCAGGGTCTGCAGGTTTGATATTCATCACCTGGGCAACCTCTGCCATCAACATATTTTGTACCACGTGAGAATGATCACAGCTTATTAAAATAGAAATAATGACTGCTCTACCTCCGGCATGAAATATTTAGCAAGGACAAAGGATATGCCTCAAAGGTGATTCATATCTATGTTGAAAGGAGAGAACATGGACAATACCGGCTACACAGGAAGTGCAGATGAACCTTGGTTAACCTGAGTGTAGAAGAGACTGTCAGTACTTGAAATGTGTATCTTAATGGAAGCAGAATGGTGGCAGAGGGTTTTTGAATTAATACTTGTTAGAGGCATTACAAAGATGTTGGTATAACACAAAGGGACATCCTGTGCAGTACATTTCCCTCTGTTCACCTCATGGCATGAACAGTACACACAAAGCAGAATTATGCATTCAGGTTTGAAATATACGGTACGTGTTCAATTTTACCCATCATTCCGTAGTCTTAATTTTCTCTCATTTGGAACTTATAGAGCTTCCAATATCTGGTTGTGAAATTATTGATGCCTTTTTCCCCCTGGCTTGTGTAAATTAGCTTTTTTTTGGGCCCCTTGGGTAAATCAGGGGAAAGGAGCCAAGCGAAAACGTTCTCCATCAAGTGCGATTGAATTGGATTTCACGAGATCAATGTCCAGGACAAGTGTTTATCCCAATTACATTGCCAAGAGGTTCCAGTCCTGCGGCAGCCACTCTGGTCAACAGCAATTAAGGTCAGCTTTGAGTTATCAGGATCAGTCATTGTGAGAAGATGTTTACAATGTGAGCAGAAAGTAGATGAATGCCACAGGCCAACATTTGCAGCAGTAAAACGCGGTTTGTGGTTTGGTACAAGAATTCATGAAATTACAGATCTGACAGCCAAAACACGAGCAGAGCAAAACACGGCTGTCTTTTCCATAGCCCACACATCTTTTAATCTAGCAGAATACAATAGACTTCAGAGACTGCCTTTGGCTCTTTGTGTGACTGTCCATTTCCTTACTCGTGTAATTTGTTTTTTCTTTGAGAGAACCTGTATGATCTGCTGATGTGGCTTTCATCCGAGGAACACACTTACAACAGACAGTGGAAATAAGGCTGATGACTAGAAAACAATTAGGTGATAGTTAGTCTTACCTTCCCCAGACTGGGGCTCCACACATATCTCAGGCTGAAAACACAGAGAGCCAAAACAAGGAAGACCAGAGCCAGAATCAGAGCCACTCGCTGGTAAGCATGGTACTTGGTCTTCTTCTCTTTTTCCATCTCAACCTGCAAACAATATCGGTCCAATATTATATATGGTGCATATATACATTGTATATGTCTGCTGTATAAATGGCTCAAACTACCATAACAACATACCTCACAGAAGTATATGTTTAAGTTAATAGAACTAGAATAATTAAACATTTTGGGAAATACGCTTTTTTGCCCTTTTGTCAAGACTTAGATCGATACCATTCTGTTATATGTTATCATATCTGCTACATTATGTCTCCTTTGTTTAACAATATGTGGTTGGTTATCTCACATAATCCCCTGTCAAACCCCATTTTGTTGTTTTTAACTCTTTGACTTTTGTAGGGCTTGAAGAAACAAGATATGACGTGTTAATTATTTAGCTTTGCAGATGCTAAACTAAAACAGTTGCAAAGGGAGAGGAGCTCCTGATGGGGGAAATGTTTTCCCCCACTCTGTATTTCCATTTCATCTTTATTTTTTCCAATAATATCTTCAGTACACTATGTTTTGTAAGACTTGGCTATCATAGAAACCAAGAATTCTCCAGGGTAATATGATAATCATATTGATTGTTGTAATGGTAACCAGTTGTGCATACAACAGTAGTATTCATCCAAAAATGTAATTGATTTAAGCGGAAGATTGCGTAATCTTTAGGTTTCTCCCATTAGCCGAGAGCTTAACACGTTTTTAAAATATGTGATTAAAGGCATTATGCTGAATTGCAACGTGGGAGTTTAAGTTGACTTCTTCCCCAAAGTTTGTAAGTACCTATGTAGGTTTGTTCTTTTGAATATTGTTTTTTTTTTTTCAATCAAAGAAAAATACATTTTATGATGTAGTTGTACGTACTGATGATTTACCTGGGAGAGTTTCATGTCCATCCAACCTGTACAAGTGCTCCAACTATCATGTATCACTATGGGATCACTATGGGCTTTTACAATACATTCGGAACAAGAGACGCCTGAAATATTCCCCCCTCCCACTTCATGACTCTATTTAACGAAGATATATGAGAGTGGTATCAATCCTCTAATCTAATTCTCAGCAAGAAAGCTTATACGCTTATTTCCCAAAATGTCCAACTGTTGCTTTAATTTGTCATTTTTAAGTCTGGATTTATATGTCCTCCTTTTTATTTTCCTTTTCTTTTTCTCAGTTTTGCATTTAATACAAAGATATGCATTTTGAATTGGTCTGTCGTGCAAAATGTATCCACCAATGAGGCTACTAATGACAAAAATATAACCATCCCCATGCCAAGTGCAGGGAAGGACAGACTGCCACAAGTGCCACAGAAAGGTTACCTTCATTAAACTTTTCCTCGAATGAAAACTCTGCCCGCTGTAGTTAACTCCCCAGGCTCAAGGCCACAAATTAATAAAGACAGGTTTTTGTTCCCCCGGAGCTCCAGCAGGGAGAAATGAAAGCTTCTCATTCACACTGGACCCTTTTGAAAGTCTCAGAGGACAACAGAAAAGGAGATATGTAAAATTAAAAAAAATGGAACCAACTTCAATTAGCAAAATTGGTGTTGCTTATCTTTGTGTCTTTTTTAAATGACACAAAGCAGCTTTGGTTTTCTATTGTGGCCGAGGCTGTTACAGTAGATTGGACTGAACTTTAACAGGTTAGTCTTAAAATAATATGTAGGAATCATTTTAAAATAATAGGTGTATGTTTTTTTCTGACATTTTGAATTGTATAATGTTAAAATAACTATCCCAAATAGTCCTGAAAAATACATTTCACATAGCCTTTTTATAACTTATTTTAGGTGGCGTGATCTCCGTGAGGAAATAGCATACAGCAATAATGACATACAGTTATACTGTGTGCTTGTTGGATTGAATTTCTGATTGGTAAATCCATTAGCAGCATGTCTTTGGGGAAGGACAGAGGACATATTATTCGAGATAAGCCCCTAAAAACGGAAACTAAACCTTTGCAATTAAAGAATTCTAACATTGTTACCATTCTTTATTTGCCATTTTAGAGACGAACCGAAGTCATAATGAAAAACAGAGTCCAACAGGCTGAGGGCCAGAAATTCCTTTTATTGTGAATTTTTTTAGAGTGAAGGAAAAAAAAATAATGGCTGAAATCCTCTGCTCTCCTGTGGCAGGTTGCATAAGCAGTGGAAACTTAACCAGAGGACAAACCTCTCTCCCTGCCTGTGCTTTGAATCTTGAATACTCAGAGGAAGAAGGTGGGATTGAGAGACAGACAGACAGACAGACAGAAAGAAATAAAGGCATGGATGGAGACAGAGAGAGCAGTCTGAGAGCATAGCACTCGCCAACTAGTGTTTAAAGGTTTAGGAGTTCAGAATCAGCCAGTCAATTCCTCTTGGGCTTTGTGAGGAAGAGTGCCTGGAGCCCCCTGCTGTTATCATGCAGGGAGGAGGCACTTCCTCAAGAGAAAAAAAAACAGAAGTAGCCTACATAACCAACAAGCCGAGGCAGTGGTTTATCACACTGTATGCTCATATAAGCGTTTAAATTCCTGTGAAAACTATTCTGAAATATGAAGCAACAGGGGATTTCTTAATCATCATCATCATTGTAGTCAGTGTAGTCATAATGGGTATTTAGGAATACTTGTCTTTTCTTTGATGGATGTTAAACGTTTTTTCTTTCATATACAGTACATATAAAAAGATAAGCTGTGCTGTGGAGGTACTTAACTTGTATATTTGAACGCTGCTTGCATGTGAGAAGGAAGGATATTCCAGATATAAAGCAAATGCAATGGTTCAGGTGAGACCGAATATAAGAGTGGAAATAAAGACAGGAAGCCAAAGTGAAAAGCCAAAAGGAATTAGATTGAGAAATTACTATTCTGAGAAAACTCAGATCACTGAGCAAGAGATCAAGCAGCAGCTGCTTTTTGATTTCTAAAAAGAGAAATTCTAACATTTTACTTCAAGCTTACACTAAAATACCACAGGATCCCCCTCCCCACTTTTAAACCACCATTGCTGCCACTTACACATCATTTATTGAGCTGTAAAAGTTAAAGGGAGCTCTCACTTTCTTGAAAATGTAGTGACCTAAAATGCTGCAGTGTTCATGAAGACACTAAATGTTAGAATTTATTTTACATTTTATTTTTTTGCAATTACAATCAAACATAAAAAGAAGAAAATTGGACTCACATCTTTCCACAGAATCTGTTGACTGCTGGATTTACTGCTGGCCTCCATGATGCAAGCCCACAGGAGGAATCTTTCCGATCCTCTTTGCTGGGGAAAATACCAACGTACTGCAGGGCTAAGAGTCCCCGCGTCATTCCAGTGCTGTAATTTGGGAGTGTGCTGAAGGGGAGGGAAGTTTCAGGTGGAGTGGAATTACTGAAACATTTGCGATACCCATTAAAAGCAAGGCAGATGTCTCCCCCGCCTGCCTGCTCCCATTTCAAAGGTGGGAAGCCATGAATTCAGACTGAAAGACAAAGCTGTTGAATAAATTACATACTCTACTTGGATGAAAATATTGTAGTGATTCAAAAGATTCCTGCTTGGAGGTCACAAAGTTTGCATGTGGAAAAAAGAAAGAAATGTATCCACATAGTACAGATGCTGATGTTTTTATCTATATTTTCTGAAGTATCAAAAGCAGTTCAAGAACCTGCTTTCTGCTTTCGTTCCCCAGTCAGTCAGTCGGCACACTCTGCAACAAACGGCTACAGTAAACAAGAGCTGAGATGAATGAATAGCAGCATAACGAAAGATCCAACCTCATAGAATGAAAATAAATTGCAAATGTTCTCATATACGTAAAAGAGAAATGAAGCAAGGACTATAATCTGAGGACAGAAGTTTTATAGATCCCCTCCAGTATTTTATAACAAAAAGTATGGTATGTCGAAAAAAAGTCCAAAAAGTTTGTTGCATTGGCTAACACAACTAGCTATCACTTGACTTAGAAAGGGAATTTTGACTCTATAGGCCTAAGGAAAATGGATTTTTTACTACTTGTTCAGATTTTGCATGTTATAATTGATTCTATAATATGGTATTTTTTCTGGTTGTTGATTGGCAACGATGCAAGAGAGGACATTTTGCCCCCCACCACCACTTTTTTGCCTGTCCTACAGGTGTCGCTGTTGAAGCATTTAAATCAGAATTTCAATCATTTTTCCAAAGAAAAGAGAAAAAATATGTTTTAAACATTTATTTAGACAAATAACTTTTTAACTCTTGTCACTCAAAAATAAAGGAGGTGCAACCTCCTCTGTCTTCTCTGGACCAGCCTTCTCTGGTGTGCAGTACCATTAACAGTTTTTGAAAATGTTGCTGTGACTCATGGAAGGTGTTATCACACCTGCAGTTATTTTTGCCTTTGGTCAGAGCTGCAGTGGAGATGTTAACCTCATTCCTTTTTTTGTTTGGTAAGTTTAGGTTTATATTATTCAGCTTTAGGTGAACCATTGATATTTCTTTTAGCTTTTTAGTTATATTAACATGCCATTTTGAAAGGTTTGTTTCCAGTCCCTGAACGTGCAGGCTGATTGACTACTTTGCACTACGATTCATCTGTAAGTAAGTTACACAGAAGAGGCTGGGAGAGAGAGATTCTGATAATGACATATGATGAAGGTCAAGGGCAGGATTCATGGCCAGCAGGTGATGCTGGCACGGTACATCACGATGCCCTGCTGCTTTCTGTAATTTACCTTCTCAGGTGTTCAAAACAGTTACACAACTAAAATCACACCAGTCAGGATTGTCTTTTTTTTTTTAACTCTATCACTGACAAGAACGTAAGTATTGGACGGTTCTGAATAAAGAAACATGTTTTTTCAAAGTTTTAAATCTCTGGACATTGCAGTCCAGGTGAGAGATAGTACAACTAAAGCAAGGTTAGGGTTAGGCACTAATCAATTGGTCAGGGATTGTGGTTACGTTTGATAATTTCAGGTCTGCCACAGGACTCAAACTCAAGTCTCCCTCATGAAAGTCTGACGCACTACAGCACACTACTTCCTGCATTGACACTGAGCTTTGGCATTTAAGGTACTGGACTGATGTTTCAATTTATCTTTCTCTTATGTTTGGCTTTTCTGTGAGTTACTGCTGGGTGTCCAATGTCAACAACCATGTAAAACCAGATCTACAGATTTACAGATCCCTTATGAATCCTACCACATGCAATCGTAAATGGTCCATTACAATAAGAAACAGTGAACTGCTCTCATTAAATTCTGTTTAAATAAAGGTTGGAAAATGGCAACTAATAGTTCAACAATAACAAAATAATAGTAGTTTATATTTGTGATTAACTGATTCAAAGTTAACTCGCTACTTGGAAAGTCAGTATTTTGTGTACTTAATTGTGAAGGGGTGCCTAACGCAGTGCTTTTCTGACACCCTGCACTAGCTGACAGTATCTTTGCAGCACGCCACCTGTTCATTTGTTTCAAGACGCACAATGCCTGTTTAATTCTATCTTAACATGTCATGTGACAGGGAGCGAAAGATACAGCATCAAAGCGCACCTGTGTTCAGCCTATTTATACGAACCACCTGCCAGTCTTTCCTGTTTCCACATCGCCTCAGATGGTTTACAAAGCAAAAGCTGATACAAAATGATTTGTTGTGAATCAAGATTATTAAAAACACAATTTCACAACCTAAAAGTTCCACTTCACACCCAATTTACAGAAGTCAATACGATCTGGAGGTGGAGCATTCCGGGTAAAATTGGTCAACCTGCAAGCCTTCAGTGTGGCAGGCAACATTTGAGCACATATTAAGTCTGTCAGATCTGATAGCTGTGGGACCTCGTCAGCTCTTTCCCATTGATATAAATCTTCACAATTACTGTGACATTTTGCTGGGGTAAATCAAGCGGCGGGTCTTTCAGGAAAAGTGTTGTGTCAGCAGCATGGTTGAGCATCCTGGGACCCTCATTCCCCCGATAGCATTCAACGGCAGGCTGGGGCTTTCACACCTGCAGAATAGAATAAACAGCAATTTAGTTTGGAGTGCATACCAGATACTCACAGATTAGAGCAGAGGTTGATGGGAGCAGCCTTAGCAAACCAGGAAGAATCACAAAATAAACATTTGCTCTATCCTCTTCGTGCTTCAGGCCTGATAGCTTTGATAGGAATGTTTCTCCCTTGTATTTGTCACATTTGCAAACACAGACTGAGTGCTGTGACCAACAGCGAGGCCCATTACAAATCCAACAGACCAAGTTAGATCCTGTGAGTTTTTTTCTTTTCTTATTTTATTCAAATAGACCGTTTTCCATCAGACAATAGCAGTTGTGCTCAAAATGACTTGCTGTACTTCAGGCAGGCGCTGCCTCCACAAACTTGCAGAGTCTATTCTGCTCTATTTTGCATTGGCCATCTGGAAAAAAGCTGTTCCTTGTTTGCTTTCCTTAACTCTTAAGCCAGCCTACAAAGCCTTGTCGAGCTTCTGTCACTCAGAGAGAGAGAGAGAGCTGTGATGGAAACCCACACATTTCCCACGTGCTCATCCGCATTCATTAACAGTCCCTTACCACATGAAGGGAGACGGTCACAGCTACAGAAAGAGAAAAATAAGTGGAAAGAGTATGTGTACGGGAGATAGACGTACAAAAAATATATAGAAAAATTGAGCAGGACTGAGAATTTATTTGTCTCTTTCTTGCTTTCTTTTTCTTTTCTTTTCTGCTCCTCCGTGGCTTGAATCACACTTTTGAGTACAGAAACTGGATCCATGCAGGTCAAAAGATGACTCGTAATATTGTGTTATTTGATTATCTGACTCCCGGCTCAGTCTGTCATTACAGAGGGAGGAGAGGTGGGGCTAGAATGTGGTCATGATGAAGAGGCAGTCGTGGATCCTAACGTGGTCTGGATGAAAGATCAGACAGCCTCCATCCGTCATCTTTCAAGATCGTGCTTCAGTGACTCTAGGAAGGAAGTCTGCACAGGAAGTTTACACAGTGCTCTGTTTCCCAGGAGTCACTTGGTTCTTCAACCGACTGTAGCGAAGGCCTGACACATCATGCTGATGTACTACTGCAAATTCCTAAGTGTAAAAATACTCAGTTGAGGCCCAGTAAAGCAGCAATAGTATCTGCTTTTAATGCTTGTCGAAATATGCATCTTCAGTTAAGGTTCATTTGCAGTATTTATTGTTAATTGGCCAATTTAAGTCCATCACAAAAGTCTTTGCCTGCTTTCTAGTTTTTTGGGCTTAAAGTTCCCAATTTAGAAATTCTTAACGCCTCCCTCTTGATCTTACAATAGCCAATCTTTTATAGCCACTTTAAGGCTCAACTTCTCTAAATCTCCCTCTCTCTTTGACAAATGACACCTTCTGGATTCTTATTTTCGGGAGGAAACGTGTTTTAGTTTTTTTAGGAATTGCATTGAAGCTCACACTGATCTGCACCTCATTCTTATAGTAAAAAATTAGCAAATTGTATACAATTCATGAATCAATAAATCTAGGTGTTCATCGCCAAGAAGTAAAGATGATGTTGATTTCATTCATTTATAATCTCTCGTTGGCTCATAGTGTCTATGGCTGACATTAAAGTTGATGAATACAAACAAGAGTTTGAGGGATAACTATGCACCATCTCTATAGAGTTCCTTTGCCATACTGAGAAACTAGATGAATAGGAATGTGGATTACGCCCCCTGCAAATCTTCACCAAGTTTATTCACTCATTTCTCAAATCACACCTTGAGAGTAAAGCTACTTGCTGGGGGATTTTCTCAATTTCTTGCTTCATGGGACAGGTGTATTTACTTACATAATTGTATTCCTCATCCAATTTATAATGCGATTAAATATTAATACAATTCTGAGTTTGAAGAGAGGCAGATCTGTGAAAATTATCTAGACAGCAATATTGTGAAATTGTTCTTCTTGCTTTGCAACTTTTTCAATCAGCCATAAATGGAACAGAAGCAGTGAAAGAGAAAATATTCAAATGGTATTTCAACAAATAAAGCACTCTTGAGAAGATAAAAAAAAAAGGCGCAGGTATTTTTCACTGTGGTGATCTTGACTCATCTCTGCTGAGCATTGTTTAGTTAGTAGAGGAGCTCTCCGGGGGAACATTGAGTGATGTAGTCAAAGTGGAACCCTCCTGAATGAGCTTTGAGCTTCAACTTCCCAATATCCACACATGTGCGCCACAGAGTCAGACAATAGAGCCAAACCCAAGTCATAGCCAAATCGTAATTACCTCTGCACCCTGCAGAAGCAGACCAATTGACTCCTCTAGATGGATGACAACAGGTAAAG